TGGAAGGGGGAGGACGGCGGGGTGAGGCCTGGGCCGGGCCTGGCACCCGCGGGCTCAGAGGGCACCCCCTGATAAGGTGAAGCATGAGAAACATTGGGATTTTTTAAAAAGGAAAAGGAAAAGAAAGCAAATAACCAACACTCAAGGAAAGGTCACCATCCGTTCGTCCTGCTGCTAGCGCAGCCCGGGCCCTATGAGGGCATGGCCAGGGTGTTGAGGGGAGGACGAGCCTTCCTCCTCCTCGGAGGGAGCCATGCACTGATCTTAGGCCAGGAAAGCGGGGGAGAGGGGTGCTGGGCTCCCCGCCACTCCCCGGCAGAACCGACAGCCCAAACCGCCTGAAGAGCAAGAGGGAAAGGGGAGCAACGGGCAGGGCCGCAGGAGCACCAAGCACATGGCGAGCTGGCGCTCGATGGGGCGCGGGGGGAGAGCAAGGCAGCAGCAGGAGCTTTCGGAAAGCAGCACAAATAGAACAGCTGACAAACGCCACTCACAAAGTGTAGATGTGAAAGTGGAAGTAGAGCCGGGGGGTACTGGTAAAAACAAAACCCCTCAAAGACGGTCCGAAGAATGGAGAATTCAGTAAAGAGACTAGAGCTGGGGGGGGTGAAGAGGAGACATGTATCTCTGAGATACCCCGGAAACCTTAACAGCATCACTGGTAGCTGTGGTTGTAAGCATGGCTGCTTCGGCGCTGAACTAAGGACCGGTGTGCACTGGAGCACTGCAGCCTTTTAGCAAGAAAGCGTGTGATTTGTTACAAAGACCTTCGATAGAAGTACCATGAAAAACCCCCACACAGGGAAAAAACATATTTTAAGACTGTTACCACGCAGAGACAAACCACCAGACATTAATGATTTGTCTTCAGCTTGTATTTTATACTGTTTCAAAAGTCAGATTTTGCTCTGTGATTTCTATTCATTGCAACAGGAACTGTAGAACAAATAAATCTTAAAAAAAAAAAAAATTAAAATAAAAATCACAGTTTGGTGGTCCATCAAGACTCCTGTATGCTGACTCCTCTTAAAATCCTCTAGCCTGTTCAAACAGCAGCCTGAGGTTGTTCTCTCAGTTCCTTTCCCCGATCTGTGTAGTTTATGCATCTTTTTAATGTTTCTCCCCTTACAGACCAGAAATAGTATCGTTGATACCCAGGAGGGAATTCATTTATTGACTCCAAAAAATGAGGAACATTCCTCATTGTTGAAAAGACTGAAATAATACCTTTTCACAGCCCAAGTTAGCACAATTATACTGAAGCAACTTACCAGTTCACTTCACTCTGAGACTCTTGGTGAGAATCCAGTTTAGCTTTAAATTCCACACTTGGCAACAGCTTTTTCTTTCTCTACCCACACATTTGTTTGTTGAATAATATGGATTATGAACTTCTACCCGATAGGTCTTTTCAGAGAGAAACACAAATGAGACCAACAAATGCTTTCGGCCTCTAAAGCAAAGCCCTAATCAGAAACCACCAGTTTCACAGCCCCACTGCTCAGAAAGTTGCCCCCCACCGAGCACGAGGCTCACGGTCACCCTCTCGAGACGAAGTTATGTAGTTAACGCTTCTGCTGGTTTCCACGCTCTGCTAACACGCAGCACGCTGACCACGCACCAACCAGGCAACAGCATTCAACTCATTTTTTAATATGAAAACATGACATTTAGAATTCGCCTCATTCATATATGACAGCATCTGAAGTGTGAAGTTTCCTCATTAGGCCAGGGAAGACGGCCTGAATTTACTACTTGAACGTATCTGCCTACGTGCAAGCGGTGCCACCTCTCCTCTTCGTTGTTCAAAGAGTGCTTCAAGGAGGCAACCTGTTCGCTCCTCTCACAGATGATCTAAAGGATTAAATTTTAGCACAGATGTGTTTAGTTTAGCATGAGTATAACGGTGTTTCCCACCATTCCGTAATGAGGGCTTCTTCTGTATTGCCAGCAGTAATAAAAGCAGCTGTACCCCTACAGATGAATATGCACAAGCATGGGTTTCAACAACACTTTATTGAAGCACTTCAAAATGATCACAATGATAGATGTTGCCTTTAACAGAAAAAAACCCCGTACTGTCATAATTAAAAGGCACTAATCCTGGCACAAAGGTCTACTTACCCACCTTCCGCTGTGACGGAAAGAAAAACATCAAATATTTTTACTTCTCCTTTCAAAAAGTACATGCACGCCCCCTTTGAGTGCCATTCAGTGTTTGTCATTTAAGTGACACGTAAAAGGAACTCCCCGCTGTTTCACCAAGGCGTACTTCAGCGTTCAGCATCTGTAGTCCTCAAGCAGCAGACTACTCGTCGGAGGTTTATGATTTACTGAGACAAGTCATTCCACACTCACATTTTTGGGAATAAAAGCCCTGAAGCCCGTACCAGTCTCAGGCACTCTCGCATCACCTCTCCTTTAACACGACTCCTCGCTTTGCTGTTCGTGGAATCGGCAACGCGCCGGTCTTAGCAACATCACTTAAATAACCTGATTTACACCCCCCTGTTTAGAATCCACCCAGCGCGCTCTAGTCAGGGTCAGTGCAAAAGCAAGCCAGAAGGGAGCGGTGCCGGGGCATGCGGCCGGGAGAAAGCACATTTCTTTCACATTCAGTAACCACGCACAAAGCAAATCATGACATGCCATTGCACAGCCACAGTAACTATAAAATTAAAACTTAGAAAAAGTTAAAAGCTTGATAATCCAGCTAAGTCGTACTTCAAGTTATTACAGATCCCTGCACAACATTCCCGTATGAGTTTAACCAGAGAGACTGTTTAAGGCATTTTCTTTGGCCTCCTTTCTTCTACCAGAAAGTGAAGACTATGCGGTTTTATATGTCAGCATCCAAAAAGGACCGTCCTTTCCAACCTGTTTCCATCAAGATGCAAAGAGAAAACACAGATCGGTAACAAACTGGATAAATTAGTTCCACCGGTCATGAAACAGCTCCACATTTGTGCATTTTTCACGTTGCCAAAGCGGTAAGACAAAACTGCTCTGTGCCGCTGCCAGGACACTCAGCTCTACTCGGGGTGATGAGGAGAATTATGCCGCACTGTAACTGCGCTTAAAGAAACCGCCATCCGCAGGGAAGCTGACAGGACAGTAACGCTCCAAGGAAAACTTCCACAGAGCCCAGGGCTGTGGGTGCACGCACAAACATTTCTTCCCAGTCCGGAGCAGAGGTACACCCAGTAAGAGCGATCACTTGTACTGAACGAAGCCAACAAGGGTGTAGAGTCGATGGCTTTTAAATCATCAGGACATCGGACCACACCAACACGTCACGAGGTCACAAAGGTACGACTGGTGTCTCACTTGCACGCATATTCATGACGACGAGTTCTCTCCGGCTCAGCATTCGCCTCTTCACAAGACCCAGTTTTCTTAACATGCTCATGGTCAAGGCCTGCTCAGAAGAGAGTTTCAGGACTACAGCTATTGATGTTTATGTACCATAATTTATGTTACTAAAACGCATCCCCAAAAGCAACTTTTGTTCAGCCAATGGGCAATTTCATCAGTCTCTTTCCTGTCCAGCTACCTACAGAGCCTGAGACAAGCAAATACCATGAGAGATTAGATTGGCACAACAGATTCCTAGAAGCAGAAGGCAGCTATAGCACCCAGGTTCATCAGACAACACTGCTAACGCCCATCTTCGGCTCCACACCTTTATTAGAGCAGAAAAAGTTTAACTCCCAGACAAGCAGGTAGTTTTTTCTGTCCAAGGCTGACAGGTGGCGAGAACACCCTCACTTCTCCAGAAAGACTTAACTACACTTCCCTTCTCTTTCAAAAGGAAGGTACTTGGAAAGTTAATCAAGCTCTCAAAGAGAAGAAGTGTAACCCTCTGCCCTGGATTCACTAGTCTCCTCAAGGTCTGCGTTTCTGCTCTGTGAGTAGCTAAAGGCATCTGCAAGAACTGTCCAAGAACAGCCGTGAAGACCCAGGTGGACTTTGTGAATACGAACGTACTTTTCAGAGCCCGCACAGCATCAGTGGCCAGCGCAGCTCTCCTCCCTGTTTCTGTTCAGAAGCAGAAACCATGACTTAAACACCGCATCAAGCAAACAGCTGTTGGCCCAGTTCACACCACAGCTGATTTCATTCCTCCCGGTATCAGACCAACCAGGGTGACAAATCTTACAGCAGCGATACTGTTTTCAGACTTGTGTGTCTCGAGGCATTTTGCTTTGGGCGTTAACTCCAGAGCGCTTGTTTGCATGCAGGGAAACCCCCTCAACTGAAGAAACAGGCACACGGTCTTTTACTCAACAGTTCATTAATCCTTCCTACCAGCCGAGTGACACGTGAAGGATGCTAACTGGTCAGCACTCAGGCCTAAAAACTAACCTGTTACCGCTCAGAAAGCTTCCACGAGGCAGGCCATGAGCAGCAGACATCCCATTTGTTGCCACTACTTGGAAGATGTCGGCATACAGTCCTACAAACTAACCCGTGACTCAAGAGAAACTAAAGCAACACAGCATTTGGGAAGAACAGTCAGTGGAACTTCAGATTAAAGATTTTGTCCAAGACCTCAGTCAAGGAAAGCCTCGCTTCCCAATGGGATAAGGATCTTTATGCTTTTAACTGGCAGTGAATGATCAGGTGCTGCTAGGTCTGATAAAGCCAGGGTTTTACTCTAGGCTTGATGAGAAAGAAACAAGACACATGCATTCTTCTCCTGAAAACAGAGCTCCAGAAGGCTGCCCCTAGTTAAGACCCTTCAGCTGACCGGTGCTTTTCATAAACATAAGAAAAGCACTGCAGTCCGCTAAGACCGACAAGCTAAGCTTGCTCACGTAAGCTGAGAAAGCCCCAGGCCTGAAAGGTAGTTTTGTAAGCATTTCACTTGGTTAGTTGAACCACAGAACGTAAAGAAGCTCAGGTGCTTTACCGAGCCTTCTTCCCCCACTGTAATCTTGTGGGAGAGAGACGTCCCATCATGCATTTCCATGAGTTAAGCCACATCAACTCAGTCAGTTAAGTGTCAATACAACCCTCAAAACATAAGTTTATTGAGTAAAGCTGAAGAGCAGTAAACCAACATATGCATCCACCTAAATAAAAAAATTCACGTATTTACAAAGTTCAGTAATTGTATAAGTTGTTCACATGCAGAGAGTAATGCACAGGTTAACAATTGGTAGTGTTTGGATGCCATAAACGCTGAAAGCAGTGAAGTATATAAACACCAAACACATCAAGTTTAGCTATAGGCCAGTTAACTAAACAGTGACCTGGTCCCCCACAAAGATTCACACATTCTAGTTTAGTTTCCTTATTTTAGGCACAAGCAAGTTTGCTAAATAAAAGTAACTGTAGCAGTTCCTGGTGAACTAGGGACTACAGTAGCAAGTTAATATACCCTCTCCTCTACAGCACCAGAGTATGAATTAATTGAAATCATGCTTCAGAGAACTGAAAGGGGACAAAAAGTTAAAATGCAGGTTCAGACTGAATGCAGGCAGCACGTAGTGTCTGTGCAACAGTGCGACGGGTGGTACAGAACAGTAAGGCCGTGGCAGGCTAAATTAAAACTGGCTTGTCATAACCCACAGGGACTAACGAGTGTTTCCAACCAAGGACTCCGACGTAATGCAAACCACATTGAGGTGAAGAATCACACACGGTGTGAGGCGACACAAGCAGGTGTACCGTGTATTTGCACACACTAGGAAGCTACACTGACGTTACTGTATGAACAAACCAGTCTTAACAAGTCTGTCCCTTTAAATATACTGAAGTCACTGAGAAAGTAAAGCTACAAAAACATTACAATCTTTAGTTTACACATACTTCCCTATACTGCAGGAGCTAGTCAAGAAACAGGATCGATTCGGTGGCTCTCTTGTGCTTTGCCGCAGCAGAACGTTTCATCTTGCAGCTTACAGACTTTGCACATGGTTACATCAAGAAAGCAGGCAGGTCTAGAGTTGTCACAATAGCCCAGATATTCCATAGCACCAGGTAAAACTGTGCCCAGCCATTCCATGAGCAGGAGAGACACTAGACAATAACGCAGATATTGTGCTGAAGGTCAACAACTGACTCCCTAAGAAAACATCAGTAATTGAAGTGTCATGCAGCTGCTCAGAATGTGTGTTCTGGTTTCAGAGAGAGACCGCTAGTATCTGTAGATAGAAAAACGTATTTGAACAAAGTCTGATGTTCCTAGCAATTTGTTTTCATGCTGGAATACTCCAATTTTTGAAAGCTTGACAGAACAGTCCATTCCCATCCCCCACACAAATGTTAAACAGAAGCAACAAAATGATTTTAAACAGTTGACTCTTCCCTAATTCATCATGAGTTTTCTTTTTTTCGAGTGAAAGGATTAAGATCTCAGCTGTAGATTAGTGATGCTGATCTATGCCTTGTGCTCCCCTCTGCAAACAGTTTCCATTTCTCTGCTTACATACACACATCACATGCATTTGTGAGATAAATCAGTATCCCACAACTCACGCTTAAATGTTTTCTAACTACTGTATGTGGCATCTTACAGAATCTTAATGCTGTCAAGCATCAGCACCTTCAAGCCACTAAACACTAGAAATAAAACACTTGCTGAAAATCATATAAAAACCTGGCCCTGAAAAACCAGAACAGAGTGTACCATCATAGTTGACATGGTAGAGAGATATTTTTTCTTTTTAAAAAGCCCCCCCACAACCCTCCCACCACAGATGGTTGTAAAATAAATATTTGTGCTGACTTTATCATGACAACTCTAGTTGTTTTGTGACAGAATAGGAATACAAGTCTTCAGCAGTGCACATGAGAAATGAACCGTGAAAAGGCAGATTCTTGATACAGGATTTTTGGGTAATATCTCATTATGGAGGGAAGTGGACAATTGAGATTATGGCCAACTGGTACTGGAGATTCCAGGAAGACTTCAGCTTCTTCTAGATTTTGAATGCTGAATAAGCCACTGAAGCGTGATATCTAAAAAGAGAGAGAAGAGAAGTTCCATATTCAAGTGTCTATCTGTGTCTGTGTAACTGGCATCGCTTTGGTATGCCAGTGTCCTCAAACACATGCCAGGAATATCCAGGATCCAAGACAGATCAACAGAATGATTTTTTGGAATGCTTGCTGTCTTGCCCAGCATCCTTTCAGTAACATTTAAAGGAACTGCCCCAGACATCCTGGTTCCTCCGTCAGCTACACCTCAGGAAAAAGACACCCCTTAATCTGATACTTGGGTGTGGCTCACATCATTAGGCTTAGATCTCTATTGCTCTGTTTAGCCCGTCTGCCTCTCCTCACCTGATGAGAATAAAGTCAGTTTGGCCCTACAGCACAAGGCAGCGAGCTCCTCCATGCTTGGCAGAGGGTCTCCTAAGGAGGCGAAACGCACTAGCATCATGCCAGCCCCGTGGCTCCAGCAGCACCTTCCCCCGAGCATCAGCGATGCTCAGCTCTGCCGAGCGCCTCGAGCAGGAGACGTGACAGAAGGGAGGAGCTGCTGCTCCTGTCCACCGCGTTCGGCTCTGGAACTGAGGGTAAGGTGACAGGGGCTTCTCAGGTCAGAAGCCAGAAGAGTTCCACAGGCTGTTCACTTCTCCTGGAGCGGAGTCCCTAATATAAAGCAGTTCTGGTATCCTCTACAGCTTGGTCCTGTGACCGCCAGCCTGAAGTCTCCCTCCTAAGTACAGTCGTGTTAGCCTGCCCGTGAGCAGGCGTTAACCTCATGGCAGCCCCAAGAAGGCATCAGAAGGGGGCAAGTGTGGTGAGGCACTGTGTTTTCACGCAGCTAAGATAACGCTGGTATCGTACATAAACTCGGTAAAGTACCTGGTATTACCCAGCACCACGGTTTCTGCCTTTGAACTCCAGAATTGCAAAGCAACTGATGTCAGCACCGGAAAGATTTACTGTTTGGCTGCATGGAGCAGCGACTGGCACAGCCCACAACACAAACCGCTTTGATAAGGCAGCGAGCGAAGGTGATTATTTCAAGGGAATGAGTGTTGAGGAAGAACTTGCTGCAAGTGCTTGCTAGCCTCATGAAGTGAGGGAGAGTGGAGAGTTCCCGATGGAAGTATAAAATCGTTCAGGCCAAGCTAACAGCGAGACTAGTCAGCTACCTGCTGCAAACGGACTAAAGGCAGCAGGTTTCACAGGAGACGGACATGTGTTTCGGTAACCACAACCCACAACTTTCATACCAGTCAAGCTTCCTCACTGCCATCAGGACTCATACCGAATTTAACCAGTGCTCTTACACATTGTTCTTTGATTTGTTATGAGGTTCCAGAAGCCAGAAAGCTTGTGTTTAAGACGTTACAATCCCCCAATCCATCCTCTGACAGCTCTTCATAACGCTCAGCATTTTAGGTGAATAGTTACCTATATTATCTTTCTCTTTGCAAGAAATTGAGTAGCAGCAGATTTCTCTGTCCTGAATAGCAGCAAGGTTCCTATGAAAGAGAGAACATTTCAACAAACACTTCACTTGTATAGCAAGGACTCTTACACTGAGAATCTAAACCGTTCCCCTTCATCTTCTCCACATAACTTGTTTCTGTGCAATGTTTCAGCTACCTCCTGTTGCTGGGTTTTCTACTTATAAATGTATGCTTCTTGACCCAATAACCTCATGTCCACGAATTCATTTACTGCGTTAGAGCAGCCTTTCTCAGGAAGGGTTAGACTTACATCTTTTCAATTAGCTGTTTCTCATCCAAAGCATTAGGAAGGTCTCTCTTATTTCCAAGTACTAGAACCTGAAAACCAGAGCAGAAGGAAACAGTTGCAGCTCTGCCTTAAAAAAAACCAAACAGAACACAAACCACAAAACAAACAAAACCAAAACAAAACCAAACTAACACACAAAAAACAAACTTCAGGGGAGACTGACAAGCAGTCTGCACTAGGCTATTAAATCTAATGGAATGAGACGTTTACTATTAAACCAGATCAAGAAGGAAGACTAACCTAGGCACATGGAAAGAGGGGGTACAAATAGACCGTTTTGGACGAAAAGCAAGTGTAAGAACACATCATCTGATAAAATTGTGGAAAATCCCAACAGACTTTCAGCCGAGACTCCCCAAACCCACTCTGCACTTCTGTACTACACGCTGGTTAACCTGTACTATAGCAGACTCTGGAGGAGAGCACAAACACCTACTGTGGAATACTCTAAACTACTGTTCCAATTTATGTTTTTTTTGCAGGCACTGGACAAGAATAAGATCACTGAAGGACTGGCTGAGGTCAATAATTTGATTTAAGGCACTAGGGGCAGGTATTGTTCATGCCTGTACTAACCAGTAAGGCTAGGCCTTACACTTAAGAGTTCAAGGCAGACTTTGGAGTTGCTGAAGTTACACACATTCCTCGAGCACGTTTAATACTGCGTAAGGCAATATTACTTACAGGGATTCCTTGTAACTGTGGCTTATCTAGAAGATTGTGCAGCTCATTTCGAGAGGCTTCTATTTTTTCACGATCTGCAGCATCTACCATGTAGCTTTAAAGAGAATTTAAGGTTAGGTCAGCAAGACCAAACTACTTCAGAAACAGCAGTGTTTCCTTTACACTGTCAGATTTGAGCACATTCAACAAGACTTTAAAACAAAGCTACGTCTTCTGAGCAAAGAATTTGGTTCTCTTAAAAAAAAAATCTCTAAGATCAGAGCAGATGCAAGTTTCTTTCGGTTAGAACAGCACTGCCACCCAGTTCAGACAGGAAGTAGTTAGTGCTCCAGATCAGACACTGATAAGAAAATAACCCATCTTGAGCCCTCAACTTAAGGGTAAAAAAAAGGTCAATATGGTTGCAGTACAGTTTCGAATTTAAAACGAGTCCCACCGAGTCAAGCATGCACTGTCAGAAAGGCCACACACAGGAGAGAAGCAAATCTGAAGTGAAGTACTAGCAGGAGGAACAGGACACTTACACAATAGCATTAACTCCTCTGCAATATCGTTCCCACATGCTTCGGAATCGCGGTTGCCCTCCTATATCCCAAATCTTAAGGCAAGGGGAAAAAGACAATTTAGCCACGTGCTGTGTTCAAACATGTGTCACGCGAAGATAAGACAAGAAATCAAACCACAGTTTTTCCTTTCTCTTCAGGCCAGCTGCAGGACCTCACGCCTTGGAACAGAACTAATCCCTTGCAGAGCTGCCCAAAGCTTGCGGGCCCCACAGTGCAAGAGGCAAACTGAGCATCTGATACCAGACGCAAGAACACACCTGTGCACTAAGTTTACACACTGTGGTATACAAGAAAATAAAATCTTGCTTTTCATGTAAGCCTTCTCTCAAGCAATATTGATGACCAGAAGAGGAGGATCTCTGGGCCCTAAACGTGTGAAAATTAACTCAGATTAAAGCCAGACAGCGTTATCACAACATTGCTTTAACAATTCCATCACCCTGGAAATCACACAGAGATTCTCATTTAAGAAACCCCGTAAATAAACAGAAGTGTATTCTTAAGCTATTTGGCAGATTTAGCTGAGCCTCTTCAGTTTCCTCTGTTGGTCCCAATGGTGGAAGCAAACCAGAGCAAACACATTTTAAACTAGAAGCTGAAGACAACCTCGCATGGGTTTAAAGAGAGACAGGCACAACGGTAACATACCTTTATTGTAACATTACCCTTCGTAACTTTTCTCATGTTGAAGCCCACGGTAGGGATCATATCTTCACTGAATTGACCTGACTGGAAAAAGAGGAAGGTAAATTTAGTGCTTACCTGATGAGATAGTTGACCCAGTAAAATATCATAAGCTTTTTCTAACCATTTGCCTTCCAATTGAAGACTTTATAGCCAAGGAGTTGTAGATATTATATTCGTGTGTATTGAAGCCTGTGTGAAGTCAGTCATTTCTTACCAGCACTGAAATAATTTTTCAAGTCTTGAGGAGGTCAGTGGAGCAAAGTTCCCTGGGGAGAAGTGCTTTGTGCAGCTTAACAGACAGACAGCCAGGGCAAGTATAGGAAGAGAGCCGTTCACCTGCTTCTGCTGGAGCCAAGTTCTGTACGCCAGCATCTCCTAGTTACCTGGGAGCTAGAAATACCCAGATGTTTTCCTGTGATGCAAGCTACTCTATGGACAACATTTACAGTAATAAATCACCCTTGTGCAGTAAGCCTCCAGCCCACAGGTATGGGTTAACTCCCTGAGGAGTTGCAAGAGGCTGGAAAGTGGAAGGACCTGACAGGTCTGCTTCCTGCTAGGCTACACAGCGCCCAGCTTGGTCAGCAGTGGAAGAGGCAACCGAAATGCAACTGGAGAGTAAGTATTTCGGCCCGTTTCCACCAGAAGTTCAGCCTCACTTTAAGCTCAGAGATAATCGCTGCAGAACAGCGTGTATTACAGAGGTTCTCCAGCGGCAGATGCTTTACTATTGGTAACGCTTCCCTGCAACGGCCTGAAAGCCAAGCTCACAGCTATCTGCTGTAGCTCACCCAGCAGCCCTAACAAGTGTTAGCCTCAGTAGGACGGATTTCTCCCATGCCCCCTTGGCTATTTGGCAGAAGGGGAATCTCAGCCCCAGCGGTCATTATTTATCTCATTGTGTGTAACAGAACCAGACAGTCAACCAGATTTGGAAAAAAAGGTCAGCTCAAATGCATTCAGTTGTTTAATGAGGGTTCGATACAGCAGCAGGGACTGCTTCTCTCCCCTGATGTTGCAGAGAGAAACTAGCCCGAGCTGAAAGCCCTTTAGGATCTATGAAGCAGACACCACATCACCCTACAGAGTTAGGGCCCAACTGCTCACAAGCTGGAAGTAGTAACGAAGTCTGACTGGACATGCTTTGAGTACATGCTCTTGGGAGTTTGCAACCCGGAGATGATCAGCTTGTACTGCCAATGCTTTGTCATCCACTTCTATGCCTAAAAGCGCTCACTTTCTTCAGCCTGTTCCCACTACCTCACCCCTCAAAAAACCCTGTGATCTTCCAACCAAAGCTGCAAGCTTCACACAACACAGACTCCAGTACGATGCTGATAAACCCTAGGAGTCGACTGAAAACATACAGATTATACCAGTCTTATTTGGGTTTATTTGGCCAAGTCCTTGAGTTAAATCGCACATTGATCTTGCTGTTGACCTCCGAAACAGAAATACATCCAGAGCTTGGATTTGAAGCCAGCAGTCCCCTGAACAGGTGGTGACTTTTCACAACTAAGATCTGCTTTCCAGAAGCATGGCTATACAGACTAACCATCTCCTGAAAGGAGTAAAAAAAAAAACAACTAAGTCCTTGAATCCAACAGCAAAACCAGGGATGACCTGAAAAATGGACAGCTTAATTCGGCAGGTGTTCTGCATTCTCATTTGAAAGAGGTTTCAACTGTTTAAGCTCACAGAAGAGCACATATCAATCTCGTGCAGCACGTTTCAGAAACTGCCCTCTAACCTTTCTGCTGACTCAGCAAGGTAGGTGCTCAACCCGAATGCCCAGGCAGGCCATAGAAGTTCATCAGCCTCCCAGTCCTGCCCCGAAAGCCCAGCGTACGAGTTGTCCGTTTCAGCCGGTTTGATGAGGTGTAGCTCAGCAGCAGATGCCGAGTTAACCGTGCTTCCCGTGGCCGAGGCAGCTCAGTTCATAAAGCACACACACTGCCAATTTGGGCTTTGAAGGGTCAGCTTGCCATGGTTGCTCAAGAACCACTGCTTTCCTGCCTCTGCAGTCACACCCTACACCCACATCTTCTAACCAAACATCTCCCAAGCACTCCCTGATCCTCCACCTCTTGGTGCTGTTTCATGTTGCCCATACGCTGTCAGCTATTCCCACTCCGATGCTCCCAGATTCTTCACTCGAGAGCTGTTCCTATCAATAGCTCAGGCTCTGAGTAAAGACAGATTCCTTCAGATTGGAGCAGCACCTCCTTTTCCACATGTTTAACATAATGTTGAAGAAATTCCTGTGATCCACCACAAGGAAGCTTCTACAGAATCTTCAGAGAAGCTGCTGTACCTTATACTACTTTCCAAATACTCTCTACCCACGCTACACATCCAGGTGGCACAAAAACTTGTTTCAACTTGCTTGAAAACTACTCTACAGAGGTGCTCAGTTACAAGTTGAGTTTCTGCTCTCTGCACTCTGCTTTGCAGGCGAGACAAGCCAGCGCTACCTGACACAGTTTCTGATCTGTCAGGAGAAGGAAAGGGCAGCAGGTGCCTCCAAACCAAAAAAAGCACATCCTTTGTAGGAAGTTTGGCAGCTGTGGATTCTGAGGTGAAGCAGGTACCTTACAGCTTTCAGAGGCACACCTGCCTGCAGGTTTTGAGCCTATTGATCAACTCCCTTCTTCATCTGAAAGGCCTTACTCTTATGTAAGTGTGGGTGTTCCTCTGTTCACAGTTAATGTACCTAAAGAAAGCTGCTGGCGGTCACCTTACCTTCTAAGAGAGTTTGTAACGGATTTAAGATGACTGTAATGGATTTTGCTAGCAGGCAGGGATCCCCTTTGACAGGTTCTGCTATTGTATCCAACTGTCTTGGCCCACAAACAGCTCGCTCAACCCAGAATTTAGAGGGGTTTTGTTTACTACCTCTACAGAGAAAAAAGCCGGGAATTTGGCTGCATCTTGGAGTATTCATATGCAAAAGCTACTCACACAGCAGAACAAGAACATCATGCTTTTATTAGTATGCAGTTCTGTTTGAATCAGACTTCCCCCTGTTCCCCCCTGGAGCAGATTACTCAGCCCTATCACTGTGTGTTCACAATACAATGCTTTCTCCTCCTATAATAGGCATCAGCTTTAAAACAAGTTTGATAAGCACAGAAATATTTTCAATTCCCGATCTGAAAATGTTTGGCTGTTGTCATACACAGTGCCATTGCTCAAACACTCATCCAGGACAGCAAAGAGAAGTTGCTTACAAATCTAGCAATAGCATCTGTTGTCAGCACTTGTGATATTCCAGTAGGCAGACACTGTACTTCATCCAGGCTGCCTGGAAGATCAGCCTTGTGTACTAGGAGCGATTATGAATTAAGCCATTAGCTCTGAGGCTACACAGACCCTACGGCATTCACACAAACTGTCTGCTGAAGGTCACAGAACAAAGTTAACTCTAGCCCCTGTGTGAAAGATAAGAACAAAGGAGACCAAACAGACGGAATTTCAGAGACTGCCTGCAGAAGGAACCTGCAGGAGTCGTCTTTAAGCCTCCTGGCTTAAGAGGTGCTCCCTTTTCAAATACTCCAAGCTCCTGGAGAACCCCAGCACGTGATTTTTAGCCCAACATGAACCCACTTACCTGCCTGAGTGCTTATGTTGGATAAGGATTATTCAGAGGAGCAAAACTGCTTCCAGATAGAACTAAGTGCCTGCACTGCATTCCAGTACACAGCCAACTCCTACCTCCGTGAATCAGTTTGGGTTCAGCTCACCTTGTACCTACTATTAGCACTAATTCTAGCACAGACCGTAGCATTTATGAAGTGCACCCTCCATCTCAGAACCAGACTCCCCCCGAAACCCCACCACACACACCGCACCTCGGCTTTTTACCAGTAAGCCTGGCAGACTGCCTCCCCGGGTCTGCGCCCTCTCCCTCAGCCCAGCAACAGGCCAGGGGCAGCTTTGCCAGCCAGCACCCACAGAGGTCTGGCCTCAGGAACAAGCCAGTTACAGGGACAGCTCAGTTCCCAGAGGGCAGCATCAGGAGACTTCAGACAAGCATTTAACTGACCATCACCTGACATTCCAGACGCGTACAAAGGATGCAAGTTTAGTCTTTCTTAATACTTGGTTAATATCAAAAGAAGCTACTTGCTAAACCTACCATTTCCAGTTGTCTTGAGTCAAAACAAAACTAAACAAACGACACTGGCTATTTCCTCTGTGTCTCTGTAGCCATAAGCTACAGCCTGAAGACTGCCAACTTCCAGGGAGTTACGCTTACCAGACTGTCAGCACCAAGCCCTAAGCAGCTTGATCAGGTAATTGAGTGTAAGACTGGAATTCCTGCTTCCTGTATCTTCCTTAAAAATTCACCTTTTATGTTAAAGGCACCATTAAAGGCAGAACTCAAACTGCAGAAGCAGAACTGGTGCTCCCTCTTCTTTCTTTCCAGCTAGGGCAGTAGCTCTCTCCTGCTGGCACGGGAAAAGCACGCTGCCTACAACGGTCCATCTGCACGGTCCTCAGCCACCAGTTCACAGCTACCAGGTTTTGATTCCACAGCCTGCACAAGGAGATCCTTTGTGCCAACAGAAAAGGTCGGGGCAGCCTTTCGCTTGCACCTCAAAGCTAACACGATTCATTACTGTTACAGGACAAATTTCTTCATACAGGCTTTGCTACTACATAACAAAGTTGTTTTAATCTTTACTCATGATACTTTTTATCCACCTAGAAGAGATCACAAACAGGCTTAGCTGACTAGGAGACAGCATCACTGGAGTATGGATTCCAGCCAGAACACTCCCAATCCACCTGAACCAACATATTACCTTAAGCCCCGCTGTTCATCCCTAAATTTCTTTCTTCACACACTAAGAGAAACGCTTCATCTCTAAGAAATCTCTTGACAAAAAAAAAAAAAAGCAGAGTCATTTTAGTATTATATAAAGCTACCCCTACACTAAGCCTCCTCTGCAACATTCATAGCCTCAACCAAGAAGCACATCATATACGGACAAATCAACTCTCCAGTCCTTCTTGAAATACTTCAATGTTTCAGCTACTTGTGATCACA